ACCCAGGGCGAGCTCCTGCGTCAAGAGCAAGAGGCTGGAATTGTCCTCAATAACCCCCACAGCATGACCACCAGTCCAACGAGAACTACGTTTGGTGAGATGGAGGGCGGAGGTACCATCATGGACACGGTCGAAGGCGAAGAAGAAGCACCGCATGCGAGAGGTCCAGAAGTCATTGGCATGGAGGACACGGGCCCTCAAAAGCAGGGGAAGCTCAACATTGAAGGAGCCATCGGCAGACCGAGCCTTGATCACAAGAGCCCTGAGCCCAAAGTACCCACTGGCACAGATGCAAAGGATCACGACATGAAAGACGAAGGGTCTGAGAAATCAAATGACAGCAAGGCTGTGGACAAAGAGCCCAAGGGAGATGCAACGGCCAAGGAGGAGACAAAAGATGCAAAAGACGTGGAAATGAAGTCAGATGACTAGGCATCTCGAAACACTTCCCATGTAACAGGACAAGTCGTTCCAGACCCGGCAATAGCTGAGATTTTGCACCTGCTTAATAGGTACACGCCTTCCTAATCCAGGTTCTTGTACAGGCGGGCTCTCAATGGCAAGATCGAATATGCCACTCCGTGGGTGTTGCTCTCATGGTACGCTGGACTACGTTTCGCTACGGAGGTGGTGAGCTGGAATATGCGAGTACCTCCCTATTTTGACGTATCATAGCAACCATTAGTATAGAGCTAGTTTTTAACCAGTGTCACAGGAATAAAGAGTCACATCCCGACGCAATGATTGTTTTGCGTATCTGCCGCATGAACTCATGTTCCATCATGTGGTCGTATGCCGAAAGAGAGGATTGTTCAAGGTCGCGATCTCCATTTTTTTGGTACATATCATAACCTTGTTGTGATGATGGTCAAAAATCTACAAGCAGAGGTCGAAGATCTTTCCAATTCTCTTAATCTCCTTACAGTCATGGGCTATTGTGACTCTATCATAACGCCTTTTGATGAGTGTAGGAAAAGTGCAAGATGAAATCCTCAAGCAAGCCTCTTCCACCAAAGCACACCACGATATCCTCCACCACGTTCACTTCCAATTCTCAGATACTTGACAATCGTGCCCTCCTCTTCCACCTCAACGACCGTGTAATTCCTCCTATGATTCTGACCAACCCACGTTGGCACGTTGGCCACCGTTAGCGGACCATGGAAGATCTGACCCTCAGTCTCGGTAGCAGGCAGCTCGTCATTGACACGGAAAGGTCCAGCGTACCCGATGCTATGCTTGCCAACTTGCGCCCAATCGGCGTCTGTGTCGTTGGCTTGGTAAGGGAAGGTAAGGTTGGGACGGAACTCTGGTTCTGTGGCGGTGATGGTTGCGCTCATGAAACCTGTGGCTGTGTAGATGAGGAGGCCGACTGGGGCTTCGCCATAGGGGAGGTCCGGGATGGAAACGCCATTGAGCGTGCTAGATGTGTTTACCAGGGAGTAGGTACCGGCTAGGGCATTCAGGATGGCTGTGTCGTTGATGACTTGGCGTGGTGGTGGTTGGGGGTTCGCGTTGGGTTCGGGTGTTGGTGTAGGTAGAGGAATGTTACGTCTAGCAGGAACAACTTCCGCTGTTTCGGTACACGACGGCGAAGCACACGCTGGCTGCTCCTGAGGACGAGCGGACGCCAGAGAGGCGAGGAAAATAATGGGAGCAATAGGGACTCGCATGATGCAGTGCAATTCACGATGGTGATTGAAAACAACTCAGAGATTTAGGAACGCGGCCTAGATAGAGAAGTCGCGCTTGCGTAAGACGACAGGACCTTTTATACGCACCATGATGATGCACCCTTCTCAATCAAGCCCGTATACCGCAATCTGTATGACATGATTGTCCTGGAGGCGTCGCAATTACGCCGAATAGGCATCTCTTGTCCGTGCTGGGCAGGAGCGTTGTGAGCAGATACTCAAGCATCATTTCCGGGAAGGCGCCGTCGGCGGTTTGCGGGGTAATCCTTGGTAAAACCCTTTGATCCGTACCCTGCATTGAAACACAAGGCTGAGCTGCTGTATTTGACGGCTGTTCAACCTCTTGAAACGAGTATCTAAAATTGCCATGTAGCTATGGGGACGGCGAAGTGGAGTTGACCGTTGGGAAAACGTCGTTTTGACGACGCTTCGCCAAGGTACCCCAGGTTACGCACCAGCGCTTGAGCAGGGCAACTAAACAACTATTAGCGCGAAACACATACCTTGATATAATCGGAACGACTTACCACTTGTAGCTCAGCCTTAGGCCTAGTAATCCGGGTGCTATTACATTGCCGAATATTCACCTGTGCCATGCTCAGGGTGTCGGAGTACCAAAGCTGCCCAAGTACCAATGGCAGCTGAACCTACGCAGAAGCCGGCCGCCGGAGCTCCATGGCGGAAGCAAAGAAAGCGACGGTTGTGGCATAGCTTCCCGCCCGGCCACGGCAGCATCCTTCATCTCTGTGTCTTCGGAACGTTTCCCGGATTTCTCAACCAGGTCCTTGTCATCCATTCTCGCGGCTTCCTTTCGAAGGCCTTCGACGATCGCCTCATGATGCCTAAACTCCCGGCGACGCCCACTAGTATCGATGAGCTCGCTTCCTTCTGGGACTGCCCATTGTCCTCGATGATAATCTGACCTCCTTCGGCCCATCCTACTCTTGGTCACGTCTCTAATAGGTCCATCTTTGCGGTTCAGTGGGATCACATGATGAGGGCAAGTAGGCTTGGGATCCCTATCGAGAGGAGTGATTATATTCGAAACTTCTGATCGCTTGAGACGAGTAGTGCGTAGGATGCCCATTCTAGGCTTTTTCGAAGCAGGCTCTCCGAGAAGATCCCCGGAAAGCCATGGCGCCGCCTTCCGAAGAACATCCACGTCAGCGTCGGTGCGAACGTAGACATTTTCGTTAAAAGAAACGCCTGCATCTTCGCGTCGGCGCTTTCGAGTCGGCAGCAGGTTTGTGCTATCGGACTTTCTCGTCTTACGAGTCTTACGAGTCTTACGAGTCTTGGGGGTTTCGTAAACTTTAGGAATCTTGGAGCTCTCGATATATTTCCGCTGGTCTTTCGTGAACGTTTCCCACTTGAAACTCTTTGTATGACGCTCGAGGGCTTTTCTTTTTTTCTCCTCCATTCCCGTATCTCGAATGTTCTCGGAATCAGAAAACCCCGGTTCAGATGCAATCTTCCAACATCGACCGAGTCTTTGGCTCATATAATTACAGTCATCTTCTATACGACCGAGGAATCCGTTGTCCACAGTATCGTAATAACAGTGTAGCGCAGCTGTAGCACTGTACTGCTTCCTCAGTCGTACGTGCTCGATGTAAACGTTGCTGTTATCCGGAAGCTGCTTCGCTTCCCAGACTGCCTCCATCTCGGAGAGAGCTTCTAGTTCAGTTATCAGGTGAACCAGCTGCCTCTTTCTGTGTCTGTAGCTAACATCTGTTCCAATTGCATCTGTATAGGCGGTTCGCTTCTTCTTCTTCTTCTCCTTGCCACTGGTCGGCATCCACTCATAGGCTTTGTAATGGTACTTGTTCTGCATCTTTTGCCATTCGACCAGACCGCCGACATCGTTGATCCGGTCTTGCATACCTTGAAGCCCGTTCATAGAAGCTTCCGCAAGGCACATTGGACATATGGTCTTGGCGTAGAAGTCTCCGTATGCGGGATGCATTGAGTGTCCACACACGGTTGAAAGTGGAGTGGTGAAAGCGGGGGTCAGCTTGGAGACGGTTTTAGGAATGGTGACGGCGACTTTCGTTTGAGGTGTCGGCGTGGTAGGGAACCCATACAGTGGTGAAGAGCTTCCCGGCGACGCTTCTACTTGACGATCATTGGACTGCTTTGATGGCGTAGACGGGTGTGTGAACGAATCTTGTGAAAGACTATCGTCCAACAGTGTTCGCGTTCTCTTGCTCGCCGGCGATTGTTGATCCGAGCTGTTACCCGCGATCTCGTCTTCAGGATGTACTTTGCGCTTGCCTAAAGACATTGTGCTTGCACATACACCAAGAGTCGGTAAAGGATTTGGGCTTCGAGACTTGAACGCAGACTCTTTATGGATGGTGGTTGTGTTATCAACGAGTGTTTCGTAACGATCCGACTCGGACGAATGCACGAGTTGCGCTGGGTCTCGAAGAGGGGTTGCGACGAACGAAACCGTTTTAGTGATTCGTTTGGAGACGAATTTGGTGGAGGGAAACTTGAGGTGGTTATTAGGGACTCTCTGATGGGTCGCGTTGTGCGGAGAGGATGGATCGTCTAGAATAACCGGCGTGTTGGAGCACTTGAGTAAAGCTTAGGTAGGGCTTTTTATTGAAGGCAACAAGTTAAATGCCCTGATAGAGCGAAGTAATGCTAGGGTTGCAGCTGTGGATGACGTCAAACTCTGTCCAGCTTACACTATTGTGCTGATCAACTAGTACTCTTATCCGGGGAGTGAAACTTATTGTACTTCCCTTTCACCTTTCAGGGTCTATAGAGACAGTGCAAGTTCTATGTAAGAAAACAGTAGAACTATAAAAAACCCGTAGGAGCTGAAATTGTATACAAATGCAAAAGGATGCAATCCATCTCTGTTCCAATTAGTTACTCCACTACCGTTACCGTATGAACAACTGTTTTCAGCTGCATCTGATAAGACTTCGTCATATCTGCAATTTGTCTTACGCCAGCCTCTTGAAATATGGGAATCTTGAGTGACTTGTCATCTGTTGCCAAAGAAGTTGGATTGCAATAATCATATCCACTGCACGTGTTAGAGACTACCTTCTATGAGATGAATACTGATGCCTGACGTAAAGCGACACCTATACCTCATATTGAGAGTTATAAATCATAGGTTCGCGACTAGAGTAGTCCATACTTCATTCTGTGTGCGTTTAACGACAGCTGGTGAGTGATAAATATGGCACGTTGAAACGATGTATGTGGATTTACGATTTCTTATTGGATGTGAAATAAGGGTCTCGATTCACTTTTGCTACATTTACCCATATCATACTTCGATCAGATCTATGGGTCAACGCACTCCCAGCTCTCAACGACATCCGGGTTGCCGCCCTGGTACTGATTGACTTTGGGGAACTTGCAGTGCGCACGCTCGAACTCAACGCCAAGAGCCTCCGTGTCGTTTACAAACTTTGTGCCGATCAGTGTCTCGGGTGCGTTTCCATTCTCTACCCAGTCGACCAGAGCCATCAGTACGTTGTGACTGGGCTCGTAGCCGTTGATCTCGCCAAGACCTTGACCGATGGCATGCGCGCCATCTCCTCCACCGCAGTGACCAGTTCCGCTGACATAGAAGAACCGGTAGAATTCGTCGAGCTCGTCGGAAGAAAGACCCATGGTAGAAGAAACGTGTTCGTAGTACCGAGGTGAGTTCTCAGATGAGATGATGAAGTCGGCACCACCGTGCCAGTGAATCACTTTAGTGCCACGGTCCTTCACTCCGCTCAGGTCACCCTTGAAGGTTTCAATTCCAAAGAGGTTCAGTCGTGCGGCATTGTCGTAGTCCTTTGAGCTGATTGTCGCTGGGTCCCAGGTAGGGTCGTTGTAGACAGCGTAGCGGAACCAATCCGTTGTGTATGGGAAGGGCTGTCCGTTCATGAGAACAGCGGCTGCGCCAAGCTCAGCACCGGGCTGCAGACGGGGATATACGAGGTCTCCGTTGTCGTTCAAGAGTGGCGAGTAGACGGCCTTCACGGTCTCGAGCTGCTCTGGTGTTAGGCAGGTAGTGGTGTTGCTGCCTTCAACACAAGCTAAGCCAGAAGGGTCGTACTTGCAATGCAAGGGAGCCTCGATGATGCCATCTTCATAGTTGTCAAGTTTGTCGCATTGCTTCAGGACGTCAGCGTGCACCACCGCCCACTTTGACATGGGGACGAAAGTGGAAGCATTTGCTGGGCCCGTGAGAGTGTAGAAATGTCCGCTCCATGAAGTGAGGTTGTTGAAAGAGAAGGCTGGTGCTCCCGCAACAATACCGTCAAAATCGTCTGGGAAGTCCTGAGCCATTTTGAATCCCTGTCTTCCTCCGGTGGAGCATCCAAGGTAGAAGGACTTGTCGTGCGGCTTGCCGTAGAAGTCTTCGGTGATCTGCTTTCCGACCACAACACCAGTGTGAAGGCTGTAGTTGTTTAGTTAAACGCGAACAGTATGGGGGAAGACTACTTACGCTCGGTATGCGAAATCTTCCACAACATCCGAGTTGTTGTAGAACGGTTTGCCGCTCGTGCCGTTGTGACCGTTGTTGGTTCCAACAGCCGCAAATCCCAGACCAGACGCGTAGGCCAAATCTTCGTATTTGATGCAGCCGTTCAGACCACCATTGCCACCAGAGAGGAATCGTCCTGTCCAGTTGGCCGGAAGCCATGCCTCCATGTTGAGGCCAGAACGCTCGGACGTCGAAACCCAAAGCGCGACGCGGCAAATGTCTGCTGTGATAGGCGGCGATGCTTCAGCGCATGTCTGGTCGTATAGAGGGAGTGTCAAGTTTGTGCCGGCGGCGACAAACTCGGCCGTGTGTACGAAAGCACCATCGACAGCGAGTTTAGAAGCAACATCGGCACATTTTGAGCTGAACTCAGCTGGTGTCGTGCCATTCGCGGGGTATGATTGAGGAGCGGCGAAGACGGAGGATGCACTAAGCAGTACACACTGCAGTGGTTGTTCGAGCTTCATCTTGACAATAAATTGATGAGCAAGCTTGGTTCCCAGCCTCCATCCAAGACTCTGGGAATGCTTCTTCTCTTTATTCTACCGAAAACTGGGTCTCCGTCATGGTACATCACTAGTGTTTCTCTCTTTGATTAGGGCAGACTAAACGAATAACAGAAGCTGGGGCATAATATGGGGTTGCTCTGTCGTGCAGCTGCAGGGACGTGCCGCCCGTGGATGCCGTAACGATGTTTGGCGACTTGAAAACCCATGGCAAGCATGCGAAAAGCTAGGGTAAGGTGACGAATTACCGAGGCAACGCAGCCAAATCCACGTGATCATACGTTTATTCGAGCGTTGTTTTGTTTTTTCGTTGCATTGCCGACGGTTAACAGTACCTTGCGTATGCGTAATTCCATAGTCTGGAAGCTGCCGAATGTGTTGCCGATCATGGTGCTGGAGCGGGGCTAACGGAGTCGCGACTGTACCTAGTCGTAGAAACATCCCGGGCTGCAGCTCCCTGAAATGCAGCGAACTTGACAATGTCGCCCTCGTTCTGCTGCAACAATAACAAGAGAACACATACAGACTGTCACAAAGATAGCGCTTCGAATTCTCTACATTTTGGTTCATCAAAACAGCAAGAAAAAGCATATGTTCAAAGAGATGCAGGGTTGCAGAAAGAGAGACAGCTCAGGGCTCCGGGGGGTTTCTCATACGGGTGGTTAGCCCTCTTGGAGATCCGGTCCGATTTGGTGTCTTGCCCTGGGAGCGCGATCGTGACACCTGCATCATTGAGAGTTGGGAGGCAAACAATACCGCTACGCTGCGCCATGCGGAACAGTGGCGCCGATGTGCGGAGTTTTGCCGCTAAATCAGTAATGATCTCCGTGTGAAGGGTGGACCTAAACAGCCTCTTGAAAACAAGTGGGCGTTGCACCCAAATTGCGATGGTCGGGAGGGATGCTGGACGCGCGGACATCAAGCGACTTGTGGTAGGTGAAACAGGAACAGTATTTATTCGCAAGGTTTTCATCCCCTGAGAGATAAGAGCTATAATGCAACCCAATTCCAAAGCAATAACAGCACCTGTAGGATTCACCCTCCGCGGATAGACGATTGCATTTCTACAATCTCGACGACACAGCGGATCCCTTGATCATGTCAGCCGTTCTCCACGCATTGGACACGACTCTGAGTGCTATTTCAACCTCATACCTTCCAAGCCTTGCTAACAAACTCCTCGACATCTTCCAAGAGTTCTTTGGGTTTCTCCAAAGCAGCAAAATGTCCACCGCGTTCGTGCTGCTTGTAAAACACCAGATTAACTTCCTTCTCAATGATACTCTTGATACCTGGAGCTAGCTCATAGGGAAAGAAAGAGAAACCGACAGGTTTGTTGTTTTGCTTGAAGTCCTTTGCTCCTGCACCGAAGAGCTCACGGTAAGGGTAGATGGAACGAGCAAAGCTTTCCGTAAACCAGTAGAGAGAGATATCCGTGAGGATTGTATCAAGAGAAGGGTCCTCGTCCGTCCATTGCAGGAACTTCTCGCCAATCCTGATTGACCTTAGTCAGTGCATCGCTGTATGAAGAGAATGGACCCTACCATGCAAGAAGTGCGAGCGGGTTTGATGCTAGCACGTTACCAATGGTACTGGGTCTTGTTGAATGCTCCTGTGCGTACGCCGTTCCAGTTGCGCGCCATTTTATCGAACGATCCAGCGATTTCTTTTCCAAAGCATTCATGGAAGTGTTTTCGTTTGGTTGTGAGAGACCGGTCATCATGTTTACTGATGCACATCAGAACTGCGGAACCCACGGGTATGGCCTTGACTTACGGTGCATCCCAACACATGAATCGTACGACCTATTCATCTGTTGCGATGTGAAACTGCCCACATCTCCTCCTTGCGCAAGGTACTTGTCGAAGCCGAGGTTCAGCATCAGCTGATTCAAGACACGACTGGTGTCTTCCAGCTTCCACTCCTTCTCGGTCGACTGTACAGTACTGAGAGTGTAACCAGGCAGGGAAGGTACAATGAGATGATATGGTAGGTCCTTGGTGGAGTACTTCTCTTTGACCAGCGTCAGCATCGGTAGAAACTCGATGAAGCTTCCTGGCCATCCATGCATGAAAATGATGGGGATTGCGTCCTTCTTCTCAGAGAAGACAGCGACAAAATGTAGATCGACATCCTCGATCTGCATTTTATAGTTTGGAAACGAGTTGATATGTTTCTCTTGTGCACGCCAATCATACTTGTTCAGCCAGTAGTCCTTTGCATCAGAGAGCCACTTGCGGGATACGCCAAAGCGGCGGTCTTCTTGCCGTCCTTCATAAGTTTCAGGGGCGAGCTTTGAGAGCTGAAGAAGCTGGCGCCAGTCTGAGATGTCTTGGTCAGAGACGTTGAGGGTAAAGGGCTTTGCGGAGTCTGGTGGTGAGTAGGACATGCTTGTAATAGAAGAACAGGTTCAGACTGATGTTTTGGTAGTTGGATGAATAGGTCAGAGCGGGAATCAGTTGATCCTTTTATGTTCGTACGAAGACATGCATGTAACCGAAACTCGCTGGGCCTATGTCAGTGGTCAGGCAAGGTGGGGTACATACATGTACTATTATGTAGTAATCCGGGTCGCACAATTCCGACCATCCGGGTGGAATATCTTTCCGGTCAGACGTAATTCGCCGGGTGTTAGTAGTCCAATGTTTATTGTAAGTTCAGGTCTTATCTGACGCGCAGGACTGTGTCAAAGAACTCAAACTTGGACTTTATGCTTTCTGAGCTAGTAATATTTCAATTCAGACCTCGGCATGTACGTTTTGCCAGCAAAAAACAAGTTTGGGCTACAATCTCTGAGATGGGTAAAGTTGAGAGATCAGTTGGCACTGTACTTGTACTTTTTATGCGTGTGAAAAGCGTAGCGACGCAGATGGTACAGAATCCGACGTCTATGGGCAATGCGACGCGAGTGAAGCGCGTCGATACTGAAGGCGTCATCATGGTGGGGCGGATCGCCCCGCGATTTGGCATCTGCTAGTTCTGGAACTTTTTACTCACGACTCACACCTTGACACATGTACTGTGATTCAAACTTCTCTCCGAAGTCCCAATCGCACCAAACTAGACAAAATGGCACCGAATCTGGTCGCTGCAATTGACCTAGCCACTTACACGAAACCGACCCAAGGCCTTGATGTTCAAGCATTGTCCTTTATCGGCAATGTATTCGTACGAGTCACCGACGAGACCATCGACCAGGCCCTCGCCCACCTGAAGCAATCTGTAGGCCGATTTGCCAACTACCTAGACGTTGCTTCCATCACATCCATTGACGACATCGTCTCCCTCCTCGACGCCGGCGCCGCCAAGGTCTTCGTTACTCGCCAGCAATTGGACGAGCTCAAGAACTTGAAGATCGACCAGGACAGGATAGTCCTGTGCTTGCCAGGAAACACAAAGGAAGAGATCATCGAAGCCATCTCAGGTACACAGGTGGACATTTACGCCCACCAGGTCGACGACGTTGGCTACTTGGAAGCATGGCTGAAAGATTACGGAGCAGACCGACCGAATGTCTTCGTCTCATTCAAGAACCCAGACATTGAGAGCGCCCTACGCCTCTCAAAACTCAACGCGATACCCATCATCTCTGCCGAAAACCTCACAGTCGACCCCTCGAAGCAGACGAGTGCACTGAGCGTCGCGAAGCTCTTCATGGCCAACGCAACGAGCGACCGATCCGACGGCCTTTTCACAACTCTCGTCACCGATGAGCGAGGAATTGCTCTCGGACTTGTATACAGCAGCGAAGAGAGCGTCGCAGAAAGCCTGAGGACCGGTCGCGGTGTGTACCAGAGCCGAAAGCGAGGGCTATGGTACAAGGGCGAAAGCAGTGGGGATATCCAAGAGTTGGTATCATTAGCGCTGGACTGCGACAGCGACTGCTTGCAGTTTGTAGTGCGACAAAAGGGCAGAGGGTTCTGCCACCTTGCAACTCCCACCTGCTTCGGCGAGTATACCGGCTTGTCAAAACTCCAGAAGACACTCCAAAGCCGAAAAGCTTCAGCGCCCGAAGGCTCATATACTGCACGCCTCTTCAATGACTCACAACTCTTGAGAGCCAAGATACTGGAAGAAGCCACTGAGCTCTGCGACGCAAACACTAAAGAAGAAGTCGCGTTCGAGGCTGCCGATCTTTTCTACTTTGCGCTGACCAAGTGCGTTGCATCTGGTGTAACATTGGAGGATGTTGAGCGCAACCTTGACGCTAAGAGCATCAAGGTCAAGAGGCGACAGGGTGATGCGAAGCCAGCTTTTGCCGCGCAAGCAGCAGCAGCGACGAACGGTGCAACGAACGGTACAACGAACGGACCGACTAAAGAAGAGGTCAAGGAAGCTGCTTCAGTACCCAAGAGCAAGGATGATCCCGCCGGTATGAAGGATGGTCGCATTGCCATGAAGCGCTACGTGACCGCAAACGAGACGTCCGAGACTGTCAACGCTGCGCTACAACGACCATCTCAACGCTCGACCCAAAAGATTTTAGATATATGTCTGCCGATCATCGAGGCAGTCAAGACTCGAGGAGATGCCGCATTGCTAGAGTACACGCACAAGTTCGAAAAAGCTACATCACTGACATCGCCTGTACTGAGAGCACCATTCCCTCCAGAACTTATGCAAATATCGCCTGAGACAGCCAAAGCTATCGACGTATCTTTTGAAAACATTAGAAAATTCCACGCTGCGCAGAAAGAGGACAAGCCGTTAAGAGTAGAGACTATGCCTGGCATCGTATGCTCACGATTTGCTCGACCAATCGAAAGGGTCGGTCTGTATGTGCCTGGAGGAACCGCTGTGCTTCCGTCTACCGCGCTCATGCTTGGTGTGCCTGCCATGGTTGCTGGCTGCAAGAAGATCGTTCTCGCAACACCACCGCGGGCCAACGGTCAAGTAACTCCGGAGGTTGTCTACTGTGCCCACAAGGTCGGTGCAGAGTCTATTGTCCTTGCTGGTGGCGC